GATGTCTTTGTCTTCTCTCTCTGTGAGCAGTTACCTCCTTGCCAACCAGCCATGAAATCTGTAGCCTCCTGTATTGGGATGTCAGCAAGGCTAATCACACCCTAGCTCACCCTCCTTCCCCGCCCTTTTCTGACTTGTCTGCTGTAAGTATGAATATGTAAGAGATACCAGCTGAGCGGACAGACATTGTTGGTCATCATTAAGTAGGACCAGCACTAGGAAAATGTCCACACGTGAAGGTATTTGAAATTGCCTTTGCCTCTTTTTCAGGGTTCCATCCTCACTCTCTGAGCATTCTCTAAATATCTGGCCCTCTGCAGTTTATTTCCTGCCATCATCTGCCAAAGCATACCTAATTCATGCCCACCTAAACTCAAGGCACCTGCCATGCCTCTACCTCACGATGACATGCTTGTCCTGATGCTCTCTGCAGAGCATATTCTAGGGAAGATGCCTCTGCTGAAGATACACTTGCATTTTCAGGGATTTCAGAAGACACATTCAGTCAACTGGTGACACGGTTTCGCCTTAGCAGACATTTCAAGTTGTACCTGCCTAATTTTCTCTAACATCATGCTGCTTCTCCAGAAGGCCACAATCAAGGCAGCTCCTTCTCTCCTCCTACCCTGAGGCTATCAAGGTTCACTGTGTGTTCTTTTTTTCACCCAGTTTATTTTAGTATTTAGTATAATATTTATTATACTAAATATTATACTTGGTTCAGCAGTTTATAAATATTTTTCCTATAATGGTTTTGGGCCAGGTATTGTTTGTTTTGTGTTCTTTTTGTTGTTCTTTTTGGCTTTTTGCCGTAGGCTGACCTGGCTCTGCCTCGAAAGTGTTAGGATTACACTCATGCACCTCCACACCTGGCTGCTGTGATATTCGGCAAAATTTTTACCTACTTTTGGAAATCTTTTCTTTACAATTTATATTAAAAGTAATAAAACATTTGGTTAGCCTTTTCCTCTTCCTCTTAAAAAGCAAATAAATATAAAATATTCTCTTTAATCTTGTCCAACCTAGAATGGAGGTCTCAAACTTGTCATTTAGAAGCTGAATGTCAGGAACTCCAAGAAAAGAGGCCATGTGAAAAACGACTTTAAAGAGAATATTCTAGATAGTCATCACTTCTGTTGATATTGACCAAACCATTTTAGAAATTCTAGTCTCTGTTTCTTTCTGTGTACAGTAGGATTCATTATATTTTTTTTTGCAGAGCACACTGAAAGTGTCAGTTAAAAACTGGTAAGTGTTGCTCATTATTAATCTGGCCTCAGATCCTTCCTTTCTTTAGACAAGGGGGTGGGGAGTGTTTGACAATTCAGCACTATCTCCTGCTAGGGATAATTGCTTGAATTTCTCTTATTGTTCGTAACACTTCCTGAATTAGATTAATTTCTTTATATTCCATCTCTGTCCTTTCCAGACAGCAATTCCTTTGACTAAAAGTATAACAAGACATGATACCCATTCGCATATAAAAACTCAGCTAAACCTCTTTTTATTTTGAAACCTGTTGTTTTGAAAATGGCCTTTGGACTCTAGCATTTGAAACACGAGGCATTGGGTCTGCCTCCTCACAAAGCACTAAGAAGTCCATGTGAGCCGCAAGCAGCTGCTTCTCTAGTGCCAGAATGGGGGTTAAAGTCCTCCAGGTGGTGCCTGCACAGGTCTCAGAAGCTCAACTCTAAACAAAAGACAGTGGCAACATTCACATTACAGTGAGAGCTGAAGCACCTCTCATTCGGAGACAGTAATGAACTCACCAGATTACCAAGTCATTTAAAACCAAGAGCTTCCCAACACTGCTACTAGGGGTGCTTGCTTCTTTATGAGACAGCAGATCTGTCTGTTAGCTGCAGTCACTGCTTCATAGCTTTCTTTCAGTTGCTTTAAAAGGCAGCCCCAAGGTGCACCTAGTATGTGTGTGTGTTCATTTATCTTAAGTGTTACCCCGCTCCATTTTCCAAACCAGACTTTATATTTTCATACTCAGTGTATACTACACCTCAACCACACAGATGAAAAATACGTGATGAGTGCGATGAATAGAAAACATTACTAGACACAAACCGAGCGTAAATTTAGTCCTGACAACTACATTGTGTAATTACTGTTACATGATAAAAGACAACAGAAAAGTTATCTGGACAGTGAACCATTTTCCTGGTAGAAAATTCTGAGATAAACTGACCTCACAGAATGTTCTGTTAGACACTCTAGGTAACAGGGAGCAATGTCTTCTGACACAGAGGATCTTTCGAGTGGGTGTTCTATACACCAGCCTCTGTAAGGGATGAAGATACAATGTGAAACTGTTCTGAAGGAGCAGATGTGGGCACAATGTGTCTGGGTGAATACTTTTATAATAGGGCTAACATTGGCAGCTCACAGATAATTGTGTCACATGTCCATTGGCTGTACCCATGCTATGGGCCTGCTGGCTTTGTACTCTACTAATTGTTGCATTCTCTAATTCCCTGAAGAACATTCTAGTTGCTGTTTGATGAAGGATCAAATATGAAGGAAGCAGGCCTTCCTTGCATTCTGTTTGGAAATTTAGAGGCACAGTCTCCAGAAGGAGGATCAGTCTGTCTCCATTCAGAGCTGGGCTTAGAGGATTTTCAAAAGGGCTAATCCATTGTAGTCTGCTCAAGTTTTAGATGGAAGTGGGATCCCAAAGCATAGAAGAAACTATCTTGAATCAAATATTTGTAATAGAAAGGTTATATTAAATGCTAGGAGAGACCAGGCAGGAAATAGGTGATCTAGTCAGTTTAGTACGCAGGTCTTCTCTTGGGTCAGTGTTGGACTGGTGAAGTGAAGAGCAAGTCCCCAGGCTGAACTGGCCCCTGTGGCCCCTTCTGCTCAGTCCTGGCCAACATGTGTGAGCGAGGCACAGTGTTGCCCAATCCTGTAGTGTTTCAAGAGAGGCTAGAAATCTTGATTTTGCATGCGATCCCATGAATTAGAATTATGGGCTTAAAATGTTTTTAAACACTTTTGCAGGCCAACCAAATATATCTACAATCTGGTTTCAGCTCAGAAGTCTTCAGTTTACAACCTCTGTTAGGAATCAAGGCCTTCCCCATCAACTGTCTTACCAAAAATGTAGATGCAGGTTAGCCTCATAGAATTTACAGAGTTTTTACAAGAAATAATCTTTTTTTTTATTCATTTATTCACATGTGCGTACATTGTTTGGGCCATTCCTCCCCCCGCCACCCCCCCCCGTCATTCCCCCTACCCCCCCTCACTTCCAGGCAGAACCTGTTCTGCCCTTATCTCTAATTTTATTGAAGAGAAGACATAAGCAATAATAAGAAAGACAATGTGTTTTTGCTAGTTGAGATAAGAATAGCTATACAGAGAGATTCCTAGCATTGCTTCCATATACAAATGTGTTACAACTCAGGTTGATTCATCTCTACCTGACTTTTTCACTAGTTCCTGGTCCCCTTCTCATATTGACTTCTGTAGCTTTAAAGTTTAGTTCCTCTGCAGTGGGAACATCAAGCACTTTCATGTTTTGGGTTTCCTGTCTATCCCCATACCTCCCTTAGCATGTGACCCAAGTCCAACAACATTGCTGTATTTGCCCTAGATCCAAAGTCTGCATATGAGGGAGAATATATGATTTTTGATCTTCTAAGCCTGGCCAACCTCGCTCAGAGTGATGTTCTCCAGTTCCATCCATTTACCTGCAAATGATAAGATTTCATTGTTCTTCATGGCTGAGTAAAATTCCATTGTGTATAAATACCATATTTTCTTAATCCATTCATCAGTAGTGGGGTATCTTGGCTGTTTCCATAACTATATTACCATAATAATGTTCTTCTTTGAGTATTGAAAAACAGTTGTTATTTTGGATCCCACAATGTATTGAAAGTCAAATGACAGGAAAGAATAGATTGTAGAGAGCATTGAGAAACACTGTGTCCCCTCCCCCTTACCTTCTCTTTCCCATTTTAGTCTTCAGCTATGAATTTTTTAAAAATTACTAAAATTTAGAATATATGTGAGCCAAATCACATAACATGTCTGATGCCCATTGAGACTCAAGTCTCACAATTCTTCATCAAAAATTACAGATGTTGATGAACGTTCCTGATGCTGTTTCAGTTAAGAGCACACACTTCCCCCATTCCTTTCTAGACAAAGGGAGGAGATTAGCATTAGTAAATATAGTAGAATTATGGTTTTTAACAGTTAAATATAGGGAAATTAATGCAATGTTTTGCTAATTTGCTTAGTATTCACTGTTTTCTATAATTATTAATATCATCTGACTTGAGTATATTTTTCTTAGTAGGACCTTTTATCAATGACCTAGTCTAAAATACAACTTCCTTTTTATTCATGGTTAAATCAATGATAACTATTGGCAAAGGTTCAAAACTATCCCTGTTAACTTGTTTTTAATAGTGTTTGATTTATATGTGTGCCCAAACCTCCAACTCATGCATGTTTACTAATTGCAGTTATACACATTCAAATGCAGTGTTATTGGTGGAAAATCAAGCATAAAATATGACAAATGTGTGATTACTAAGGAGTTGAAATTATAGTTTTTAACTCCTTTCAGAACAGAGATATTATGATATAGCTTTTATTGGTTTTCATTTCCTCTAGCCAAGGTTCCTGGATAATTTGGGTGATAAGTTTCTTATATTTCTAATTAATTGCAAAATTCTTCCCTCTAATGAGGATAAATGAATTGAAACGCTGTTTTGCCCTTTAATATGTGCTTTTTCTTTGAGCTCATAATACCTTCCCAAATAGAAGACAGGTCCACTCCACTAAACAAGATGGAGGCCCTTAGATATATTGTGAGAGAACTTTGGTCACTTATTTCCTAGCCTTATTTTATAAACAAAGAATGCAACAGTATCTAATGTCTGTGACAACTTGTTCAACATTGAATGCATTTGCTTGTGTACTTGCAGTAGTTCTGTGGAATGCATACCATTAATGACCTATGAATTTTATTTTAGACAATCCATGGACACAAGGGACCAATCACTGCAGTGTCCTTTGCTCCTGATGGACGTTATCTTGCCACCTACTCAAATACTGACAGCCACATTTCTTTCTGGCAGGTAAGAGTAATGCTGCAGGGTCTTAAATCTATACTGCATGGTGTGCTTTGGTGGGAAGATCTTCCTGTTGTACTTACCTGTCAACCCTTCTTCTTGCTCTTTCTCCCTTTCTTCAACAAATGTCAGATGTTTAATTTTTTTTAGGATTTTGTGCTAGGAACTAGCATGCAGGATATTGAAAATATAGTTAGCAGTCAGGAAAGAGGAGCACCTGCTCTCACAGTTTTCAATCTGAAGGAGACACAGGATAAGCAAGCAAGCAATCACAGTAGAGAGGAGAACCTGAGTGAGGTTTGAGAAGGCTTTCCAGAGCAAGAGACATCTGGGCCAAGCCATGAGGGTTGCTGAGGAAGGGCTGGGAACAGGGAGAAAATCCCAAATTGGTCCACGGGCTGTGATTCCAACAGGGCATGGACCATGGTATAGTAAGGCATTTTCCTGGTGTTTGCTGCATGCCCTCTTGATATCATCTCCTTTTTGTTTTCATTCTGAATTTCCCACATAATGTTCTTAGTTCCCAACTTATTCAAGACATTTTTAAAAATCTAAGTGTCATAAGAATGCACATGTTGAATTCTGGTTAAAATGAATACTAGTTTTGAGCAACTAATTTTTACAGTAGACTCTGTTTCATCTTCTGTGCTTAACCATCATCCCATCTTCTTTTTAATTAATTTACTCTATTAGTGCTGACAGCTCCAAAATATTAAATATTACCAAGTCTCCCAAGAGTTAAATTTAATTTAACTTTAATTTAAGCTTCAATTTAATTTGAGTCTAAATTTTTTATTACCACCTTTATTTTTCTAAAATGCAAGTGTGTTTTATAAGATTTGGCCTGTTGCTTTGAAAACTAAAATGAAGTTTAAACAAGGCTTTAGCACAACTTGATGGTTTAAAAAAATCAATAGCTAATAAAATGTAAAATGGGTACAATAAATTGCTTAATTAACAACATGCTATTAAGTGTGACAACTTCCAAATCTGTCAGAGACTTTTTCTACTTTTATCTAATTTAGTTTTCAGTTTATTTTCTCATTATGGTTTCTTCTAGAATGTATCTCCAGCATCTTAATTAGCTCATAAACTCCCATCAGACATCTCACCCAGTCTTCACCTTCCCAAAGGTAACCACAGGCCTGGCATTTTCTACTGAAATCCCACCACAAATCTCTAGGTATTCATAAACTGGGTTCTCGCAGCAGTGGTTCTGTAAGAGTTTACCTGCTGGTGGTTATTTTTCTACTTTTGTCTAATATAATGGTCTGTTTCTCTGGCCTCTTGGGGCAAGGGTGCTTACATAAAGCTCCATCCATGCAGCATCACCCAGTTATCTAGGTGCTAGGCAGTGGGCTGAGCTTTGGACACAGGACCAGCAAGTCACAGGGCCCTGCTCTCAAAGAGCTTGGGCTGTGCCCAGGCTTTCTTCTTTGGAATAAACAAAGTTAAACATCTCCTTCTCCATCCAACTTTTGTTCTGCTAAGGAAGCATAATTTGTATATAAAAGAATATCTCCAAAATGAGCCAGACTTGGCACTTTTTCCAGTATTTTCCTGAATTCTCTAAGTTGTAAATCCCCTTCTTCCTTTTGTCTATATCTTTAAAGTTCCATTAGGTATGTTTCTTTATCCTTTTCTTCAAAAATTTTCTCTATTAACATCTCTGTCTAGCACATTAGTGGAGTTGTGGTTAGCATCCTTTCTTACATTGGAGGTCAAGATCATTCATTAGATGTTATCTTTTTGAGATACCTCTTTTCCTTTTTGGTCTCTCTCCTCAGAGCCCACTGTTATCTCTGGGCTTTGTTAAGTGTTAGTGAGTCTGTGTGTCAGTGCCTATGGCTATGTGCACAGTGAGGATGCAGCTCATTTCCTTAGTCCATAAACTCACCTGCTCCAAGGGCTCCCTGGTGTCATCAGCATGTGCCAAAGTACCACAGCAACTTGGGTGACACCCACGTCTTCTTGCCTCTAAAACCAATGTCAGGACTTATGATGCAGCCCATGCCTTGGACACCCAGCTCAGTCCCGAAATGTAAATGGAAGGCACAGAAACAAATCAGTCCAGGTTTATCAAGAAAATACAATAAAACTCCTTCCAGAAGTATAGTGGCCTTTCTTTTGGATTAAATAGAATCCAGAAAGCAGTGTTGGTTCTTCTGCTGCTCTTCCCACATGGGCCTGCCTGATTTATTTAGATTTGTTTAGTTTTAATGATGTATGAGAATACTTTTATATTATTCCAGTAAGTGTACTGTAATATATTTTGAAAACTAAATGAAGTCTTATTAATACAGAGCCTTACTAAAGCTATCAACTATTAAAATCTTTGCTGAGAAATGGTGTTAATGAGAAATATTGGTTGGACAATTACTCAAGTGAGACTTAGTAAAAGGTTTGTGTACAGTATTGCTTACTTTGAGAAAAGCATTTAAGCATTTCCTGTTTTGATTAATTATATCTGTATGTATTTCTGTGTTCAGAAAATCATCTTCATAGAACTGGTTTTCTGAAGCATATTTTTCAAGAGAAGGGGAAATACAAAGTTGTATTTTGGTTCATTTACATACTCAGCTCTCGAATAATGTAATTTGGCAGTCTTTTAAACCATCTGATTCACTTTCATATTCCTATTAACTTGAATACTTTATTTCACTGTACCTATTGGTATTTGAGCAAGGGGAGTTTGGTAATGAAATATATTCCTAATTCTCTTACCTAATTCTTTTACCACTGCCATCCAACAAATAAATATCCCCTTTCAGAACTACTAATAATAAATTAGATAATTAGTTTCATTTATTTTTATTTACTCCATCATACAACAGAAAACTAACTCAGCATTTTGAGAATAATGATATACATCTATAGTATGAAAAGATTGTCCCCAGAATACTGTATAGCCAGTCACTAATCAAGAAAAAAATGAATGTTGAATAGCAAAATGGTCAGTTGTTTCAGTGAGCGTTATTTGGATGAGCTTACTGGAAAAATTAATACTCACCCTTACTATGTCAGGTCTGTTCCTCATTTGAAGAGTCCATGGGGAAGGGATGATCTGAGGAGCAATGAAATTTCATGAACACGAGGGTCTTCAGCTTCCAGTTGCATGCAACTGAACAGTTTGTGCCTCTGAGAATTTCACATAGGCCTATTCTGAGGCAGAAAGGCTGTTTGAGACTACTTTTAAAGGCATTGATCAAAGTAGGGATGACTCAGTTTATGAGGGGAACCCAGATACAAAAATAGTTTTCTCCTAAAATCCTTTCTTCTATACCAATTCTGTAAGATATTCTCTTTCTTTCCTGCTTGAGCCCTCAACCCGTTTCTTGTGTGTGGCTGTATTTCAGTGGATGAGTTAGAAATGGGAAATATCTGAGCATTTTACATGCCCTTTGCTTCTGGAGACTCCAGCAGAAATCAAACTTCATATATATTTTCACAAAAATCCATAAAGAATGAAAAATACCTTGTAGTTATTTATGAACTGAGAAATTAAATTTTTTTATCTTAAAGTACAGTATGCCCATTGATGACAGTTAATTTTAACGTTTTCTGGTTAATTTGAATCTGTTCTATAAGAGGACTAAATTGTATGCTTTTTTGTGGAAAAGTGATACTTACTTTTTAGAAATGAGAAGTAGGAAATCAAGTCCACCATTATTATTTATATTTAAACTGTTTAGGAACCTCCAGAAAGCAATAAGGCCTTGCTTTTTATCTTTATGGAGTTTTGAGGGGAAAAAGAGGAAAGGAAGCAAGGAAAGAGGCTTTGGCAAGGGTGACAGTGAGGTGCCACCTGGCCTTAATCATGAACTAAACTTTAGCAGAAAGAGTTAACAATAACCATATATTTGGTTTTAAAATATGACCTCGTACACTAGTGATTTTTTTTCACCTCCATGTTGTGTTCGGCACTATTAATGCAGGAAAATCAGTAACATTAGTCATCTTAAAAGGGTTATTACTCAAGATGATTTAAATTGTGAAAATGTCAGTGGAGCCTGCACGAACTCTGCTAGAGATGCCATGATTTACGCCCTCTGACACCATCCTGCTGCCGAGAAGGGCTGGAAAAAGGAATGGCTTATATTTCGCACTGATCCAAATGCAGACCATGATAGCAGCAATAACACATCTTTAATGTCCGAGGATCTGCTAGGGTTTCATGTATCATCCGTTTGTGTGAGTCGGGTCCAAATCTGCACACTTTGCCCCATTCGTTAGTTTATTACCCATATAGATGGAGGCTTTACTCTAGAGGAGAACTGAGAATGAAAATTAGTGTAAAGAAAAAAGATTATTTCCAAGGCCTCTTTTATGATTTTCAGTATGCTTTCCATATGATTTATGATAACACAAATGATGCGTATTGAAAACATTTTAAGTAACATTTAGAATCTAAAGAAACCTGTATACTCAGTCACTCAGAAAATAATTCCCCTAGATAATGCCATTTGATATTTAGCACTTCGATCTGAATGCATAGTTGTTCATGGTTCATAATTTCCAGGTTTTTTTTCTTTTTCTGTTTTTTTTTTTTTTCTCTTGATGGTTCTGAGGTTTGAGCTCAGGGCCTCACGCTTGCTAGACGGTTGCTGTACCTCTTGAGCCACTCCCCCAACCCTAACATGTTATTTTTCATGTATGGGAATGCATAAAGAAAACCAAAATCTAGAAAAAAAAAATCTAAATCAAATCTAGAAGAACTGCCAAAAAGCAAAAATTACCATGATGAAGAGATATTCTCAATAAAATATGAAAAGTATACTCTTTCACAGGACAGCAAAGCAATGAGGCAAAATCGATTGCCTCTTTTTCCAGAGTGAAGGAGGAGCTTTCTAGAGCCTTTTCCTACAAAGCTGGTGACAAGTGAAGGTTCTGGGAATGGGAGTGGAGTTTCCAGAGAGCTATCACTCTATCTAACCACTTACCTTTGCTTCATCTTCTTGAACTAATTATAAATGCTAAACCAGATCTTCATTGACTCATCCTTCAGGGAATGCAGTTAGCATTATTGTCAAAAAAATAAAAAGGTCTGCAGTTTTAAATACCCACCTTTTCCAAATATTGTCTAATTGAACCCTCTTATTAGCAGCTATAATTCCGTTCCCTTCCTAAAGATCGATGGAGTATTCTGCTGTCAGGTTCTACCCACAAAGTAAAATTTCTCTAGATCTCTGTGTTTACAACAACAGCATCAGACCAATTTCAAATCCACTGGAAGGAGCCCTTTAGAAGTTAGGAATAACTCATAGGTGCCTGTGAATAACCATTATGGAGAAGAAAGTGGCCAAAAGTGTGTGGGCAGAAGAGATAGAACTGTTCTCTGTGGAAGGGGAAGGGAAAGTATTATTAGTGACATGTGTGTTCTCCTGTCTCCACCCCTGCAGATGAACACATCGCTCTTGGGGAGCATCGGCATGCTGAACTCGGCCCCTCAGCTGCGCTGCATTAAAACCTACCAGGTGCCCCCCGTGCAGCCAGCATCCCCCGGCTCCCACAATGCACTCAGGCTGGCCCGGCTCATCTGGACTTCCAACCGCAATGTCATCCTCATGGCCCATGACGGGAAGGAGCACCGCTTCATGGTCTAACATCACTGTCTGCTGCCCCAACTGCCTTTTAGTACTCTAGGTTCTCTAGGCTGATGTTGCTCTGTCCTGTGACGTGGGGTTACTCCTCGGTGCCTGCCCACCCCAGTGGCATCCAGGGGTGCAGCCAGGACTGTGTCACTCATGCATGCTTCTTGGGAGCAGTCCCCTGCATGGGCCCTGTTGATTCCGAGGCGCATATACACACCATTTGATGGGATGTGGCCATTCTGTCACTAGGTAGTTTTTCCCTGCCAGATGGGAGGGGAGAGCCAGCAGTTCCTGGGGCCGCTCTTGTTGCTTGGTGCAACAGAAGCCTGAAAATCAATAACCACTGTGATTGCACTCCCAGCCCCACGGCATTTATAGCTCTCAAAGCCCGGCTCTGAAATGCTGCTCAAATCTGGTCGGGCTGACACTGGGTGTTGAGGTGATGTGGCAGTCCTCATTATTGAAATTACTTCCCTTTGGACGTCCTGAAACATACTATTGTTTACCAAACAGATTGTGTGTTTACATGTTTTTCTCTGCCTGTGATTGGTAGGAAATTACTCAATTCAACTTCCTAGGCTTTAGTCACTATCTTCCTTAGTAATGCTTAGCTGTTGAGATTAATAAGAAATATTAAAATACATACATTTTCCCCATAGAAAATACAGCTTTCCAGACACCTAGCTTTCTAGGGTGTTCATTCCTTCTTATATGATAGTATATTTAGTAGTCTAAAATAAAAATCATCACAATCTTATGATCTAGCTAATCTAATTATCTAGTCCTATAATCAACCTCTAGAGGGACTTTTGTTATAAAGAGCCAAGTTTGGAAGCATAGCGTACCCTACAATGAAGGTTCTCCATGAGTTGCTACAGCTCTTGTGTTCAGGGAATTGCTGCCTCCTTCTTTCAGGAACTTTATCACCTATGTGTCTGACATATGTCAGTTATTAGTGATAACTACAAGCCAGCCTTCCAACTGCTTATCAATTAAAGAAAAACTAGGAAGGCACTTTTTAAAATAAGTATCCTAGTAAACAACTATGGTGGCACTTTGTTGAGAGTGTCTGTAAAAGTATGAGCACTCACGGTCAGCTTATTTGAGTGGATATTACAATGAAGGTGTTCATCATGTTCCCAGTAGACTTTAACTGGACCACTTTCCTCTCCTCGTCAGACTGTGGTGGTCTTACTTACAGTAATGGGAAAAATCCATAACATATTTTATATATGAATTGCTCCTAATAAACTTTGATCTATATATAATTGGAGGAGTTAGTTTGGTTAGTTGTTGATTGATCGGTCAGTTAGGCAAAATAGTTTGTTAAATGCAAAAATAGAAAAGGATTTATTAAATTCAGAGAAAATATGCAAAATTAACAGAGGAATCAAAAGAATAATGGGAGTATTAATCTTTAAAACATAGGTTGTCAGAGTTTATGTAATATATAAAAACTTAGGATCAAGGTCCTGGAACACATATGTCTTATTTTACTGAAATAGAGTCTTACAGAAAGAACATATTAAGAAATTAAGACTCCCAGAATGTCTCCTTCCCACTGATGTAAAATATGTTGTTTCCATTAATGGCAACTCTGTACTATTCCTTGGTTGTAGATGTCGGTTGTACTTTCAAAGGTGAGTTAATGCCGCATGCATGTACATTGTATTTATAGTGATTGTATGTGTAGTTTCCAAGAAAGAAACAAAGAAATATACAGTATAGACTTTGTTTGTTTGGTGAACATGCTGCTGTGTTCAGTGTAGATAGGGAAATGTGAGGTAAACTAAAAGATGCATTTTTGTCTTCCAGTGGGCTTCTGAGTATCCCCTGTACCCAGCACATGTTTACTTTAAGAACTTAAGTGGAAGTTAATTGATTCTGGACTACAAAATTGTTTGGAATAATGAAATTATTAGAAAAATTTTAGCAAACTGTTCTATGCATCAGGAAAGTGGTGTGGGACCAGAAGGTAGGCCACTGCAAATGTGCAGATGGGACCCATCACAGAGGTTGGAAACAAAGCTGTGAGGTCTGAGGGAGCAAAACCCTGGTGCTGGGCTCAGTCCAGGCCTTCCACGTCCTGCAGGGGAGGGAAAGCTTGATGGCTAGACAGCATCTCTAACTGCTCCACTAATGCATTCTTTCTAACATAATGCTCTCCTCGGCTGTTTTGACACCCACAGTCCCAAATTTCATCCCAGCTTAGAGTGTCAGCACTATGGTAAACTCTGCATTGTCATCCCAGTGTGTGCTTTCAGTGTTTTATTGATTTTGTTGGCACTGCATTTGGACCTGTCCTTGTAATTGTAGAAACATAAGTGGTTTCATTGGCAATTTACAAGCAAACGATGACATGATGTGACACCTGTATAAAATTCTTGTAATGACTTGACTCACTGTGTACAGCGAGTGAATTAAAATGTCTGCCACCCAAGACATTTCTTTATGATTCCACTGAACAGATTCTACATGTGCTGATTGTCCCTGTGTACATATGTGTGTTAAATAAAACTGATTGTACTGAAGATTGTTTTTCCCATATTATTACTTTTTCCAGTGTTGACTCCTCTTTTTTTTTTTATTTCTGGGATTTTCCATTTACTGTTTTTCTTTTTCTTTTTTTAATTATTTTTTTTTTTACTCACATGTGCATACATTATTTGGGTCGTTTCTCCCCCCCTGCCCCCCTCCTCCACCCTTTCCCCTCTTCCCCCCTGTTCTGCCCTTATCACTAGTTTTGTTGAAGAAAAGAGACAAGCCTAACAAGGAAGACAAAGTGTTTTTGTTAGTTGAATTGAGGATAGCTATACAGAAATATTCCTACTATTGCTTTCGTGTACACGTGTTATGACCCATGTTGATTCATCTCTAATTGATCTTTACCCTGCTTACTGATCCCCTTCTCATGATAAGCTCTGTTGCTTTAAGGTTTCTTTCTGTATTAGCTCCTCTGGAGTGGGGACATCAAATGCTTTCATGCGTTGGGTTTTCTACCTACTTCTGTATCACCAAAATGTGCTCTCCCCTTATCATGTGATCCAAGTCCAACCACATTGCTGCATTTGCCCTAGATCTAAAGTCCACATATGAGGGAGAACATACGATTTTTGGTCTTCTGAGCCTGGCTGACCTCACTCAGAATGATGTTCTCTAGTTCCATTCATTTACCTGCAAATGATAAGATTTCATTCTTCTTCATGGCTGCATAAAATTCCATTGTGTGCAAGTACCACATTTTCTTGATCCATTTGTTAGTTGTGGGGCATCTTGGTTGTTTCCATAACTTGGCTATTGTGAATAGCGCTGCAATAAACATGGGTGTGCAGGTGCCTCTGGAGTAACCTGTGTTGCCTTCTTTTGGGTATATCCCTAGGTCTGGGATTGCTGGATCATATGGCAGATCTGTGTTTAGATTTTTAAGGAGTCTTCAATTTTTTTTCCAGAGTGGTTGCACTAGCTTGCATTCCCACCAGCAGTGTACAAGGGTTCCTTTTTCCCCACATCCTCGCCAACACCTGTTGTTGGTGGTGTTTTTGATGGTGGCTATTCTAACAGGGGTGAGGTGGAATCTTAGTGTGGTTTTAATTTGCATTTCCTTTATTGCTAGAGATGGTGAGCATTTTTTCATGTGTTTTTTGGCCATTTGAATTTCTTCTTTTGAGAAAGTTCTGTTTAGTTCACATGCCCATTTCTTTATTGGTTCATTAGTTTTGGGAGAATTTAGTTTTTTAAGTTCCCTATATATTCTGGTTATCAGTCCTTTGTCTGATGTGTAGCTGGCAAGTATTTTCTCCCACTCTGTGGGTGGTCTCTTCAGTTTAGAGACCATTTCTTTTGTTGTGCAGAAGCTTTTTAAGTTCACTCTGCTTAAACATTCTTAGTTGAAATCCATATACTCCCCTCACCCTTCTATTTCTGATTACTCATTTTACTAGGGAACGAGCTTCTGAAAAGGCAAACTTGTCCTCAGAGAGCAGTAGAGCAGTGGAGAGGGAAGTCTCACGTACACTGCAGACCCATGAGACAACCAGATAGAAAAACTCAACAGCACCCTCTGTGGCATGGGCAGGGGAATTGCATGCATGGTGCTTTCCACCCTATGTTGCTGAAATAGATTGTTGATTGTACCAAATTCTATCTTGTTGGACCCGATGACATGGGGTGGCTGTCTTATGTCAACTGAACTGAGATCATTCATTTCATTTAATACTCAGTTTGGAGTTGAATTTGTATCCCTGAGGTACAGAGTGTATAATTGGTTTTCAAAAAAAAGCAAGAGCAACCAACCAGGTCCCCTTTGGTCATAGAGCCCTACATATAAATAGCAAATATACTTTTAATGTTTTCGGAGAAGAATACAAAACAGCTGGAATTGAGTCAATCATATGTAACAACATAATCTTCTGTAAGAATTAGTTAAACATCCCAGGAGTTGATGGCAGCTTCTTTGGCTCTATGAAATGCCCAGTGTTTGCCCTGGGAATTGTTTTAACACATGCTGATGACTTAAATGTATCCTTATAGGAAAATAAGAGCAGTAACAGTTCTGTGTGATTGGTGATCACATAAACTGATCAAATGTGGAAAGGGCATGACATTAATAGGAAGGTAAAGCCAAGCAGTGCTGGGTGACCTTTCACCTTTCACCCCTTCGCCTGACTGACAGAGCTGAGTGTTGAAGAAAATCAATACTTTGCAGTCGGGGGAAATATTTCCACCCTCTAACTAGAGAATGTATTTTGACAAGGCCGAGATAATCCAAGCTGCACAGGAGAAAGAGAAAAGAAGACTCATTTTTAAAGCTTGACACTTCAAGGTGTTTTTGTACAATGGTTTAGAGATCGTCAATACATACAAATACCAAAGGTCAAAAAGAAAAGCCAAAAGAACTTCAAAAATTAGATGTTCCTGTTCTTTTTGCTGTTCACAAACTGAAGAAGACTACAGAGGGTCTGTGTTTGCAATGGGCATTTAAATGAACAGAGCTCACACCGTGTGCTTTGTGGTTATTATCCCTCTTTGATCAGTCATACTTTAAATTCTGTATGACAGTATTGTGAATATTGAATGGTAACAAGGTTTTCAGATTTCTTCTGTACATTTTTTGGACATGGGTTGAGTTTTGAGTGGTTATATAATTTTATGCTAACCTGTCAAAATTTGATTTTGCAATTCGTGTTGATCCTTCAGGTGTTGGCATCGTAAATCTTAGTTAGACCTTCTCACTTGGTTCAATGATTTGCATGAGGAAAGAGTTGGTTTACCTTTAGAGCTGAAATTGTTTCTATCTTCCCAAATCCCTCTAATAAAAGTATCCTAAGTAGACTCTTAAAAGAGAGGCTTGTACACTTTTAATAATAATAATAAAAGTAAGCAGTTCACCCCATTCTCAGCAAGGTGAGGACCATTCATTCTGTGGACAAAATACCTCCAGCAAAGAGATATGGATTCTTTTCTTTCCTACAGATAAGAGGCCAACTGGTTCCCATACCTTCCTGACAATTTCAGAAGGACAAAGGAGTTCTAAGTACAAAGTAGTCCTCATAGGTGCGTCTCACTGGGCCTGCTCACAATGACCATTAAAGTTACAGTCAAACTACAACCTCAATTTATATATCTTCATTCTCAATAAATTCCACTCTGTTCTGAAGAGGTAGGTCTCATGCCAGAGGTTTTTGGTTCTATTTTGTTTCCTAAAGAGAATGCAGCCAGCTAAGAGTCCAAAATATTCTGAGATATCTCAGAGAAGGCCAAGAATATGTCATGCCTGGTTTGTAATGGACGTCGGGTAAATGGATGCTGCATTTGTTAAATCCACAAGGTTGCATCTGTAGAATGCTTGAAAGAGAGCACCTCATAAGCACCCAATAATGTAAGTTAATATTTTAGTAACATTTAGAATTTCTTACTGAACATCAATAGACAAGATTACTTTTATCCTTTAGAAAGTATCATAGGATTTATGTTATTCTCTCTCTCTCTCTCTCTGTCTCTCTCTCTCTCTTTTTCTGTTTCTCTCTGCAGGTCTACGTTCTACTTGTATTCGAGTGGAATACCCTGTTTGCCACATGCTACATATTGCCATCTTGCTTGTCACCAAAAATAAGAAACATGCCAGTGGCTGGGGGACTGGTTGCTTATGACTGAAGTTATGACTGCTTCCTAAAAAAAAAAAATCATCTTATTTAGTTTAGGATTCATATTAGCATCAGGGATGACTTTGATCCTCCAAAAAGGCATCAAGATTGAACAGGACTCTGGACAAACTAGTGGATAGAGTAGACCACATCGAATCACCAAAGCAAAGGAAACCAAACATATAGGTTCTGTTGCCAATGTCTTCTTGTTTTGGTTAGGTCGATGACTTAGCACGAGTGTACCTAGATATGAAATACAGTCTTTAAAACTTGGCCCACCCAGTGGTACCTTAGGTTTTAGTGAAATGTATGAAAAATGTAAAGGTAAGGCAATGAGATATTATTATTTATTTTGCAGCACTGGGGTTTGAACTCAGGGCCTCATACTTGCTATATTGCTTGAGCCACTCTGTCAGCCCTTTTTGGTGATGGGTTGTTTTTTTTTTTTTTCAAGATAGGGGCTCGAGAAATATTTGCCCTGGGCTGTCTTCAAACCACAATCCTTCTGATCTCTGCCTCCTGAGTAGCTAGGATTACAGGTGTGAGCCACCAGCACCCAGCTGAGATGTTATTTTTATTCATTCAGCAAGCACATATTCTGTATTCTGTTTTCCTCTTGCCCATAAGCTCACAATCTAAAACTGGAATAAATGCTAAACAGAGATGAAGAAGCATTTCTGATGGGTGTTGTCAAGTTGGGCTTCACATAGAATAATCATTTGTTCTGTGCCTTGAAGAGTAAATAGAATTAATTAGAAGAATGGGGGAATGTTATTAGGGAGGAATTCATGAAAGCCAAAGTCTTTCTGTGATCTGAATGTGTCTAAGGTACTTCAGACCTACAACCTGAAGGACATTGGTAAGTACTTTGCTTGCAGCTACTGCTGCAATAAAAGAAACCAGATTCCTGTGTCCAAGGATTCTTGAGATCTATAAGGCAAAGACCCTAATAAAAAAGGTCTCTGATTTGTAGTTCTCTATTTCATTTTCTTTTTTTTTAAGTTCTTTTTGTTCTAAAATTAAGCTGTGCATCCTCCCTCTCCTGGATTCTTGTGTGCAGATGGCACCATGAGTTGGGTGCCCAGCACTGTACTCTCCACCCCAGGACTGAAGATCTATCCCCACTCTCTGGGAGCGTTGTCATCTAACAGCTCCCTGCTAAGACCCTCTCTAGAGATTACTTACCAGCCAAAGAACTGCCTTGCCCAAGGTCTTACTCCCTTTCCTGGGGGTGACCACATCCCATGATAGGGCCGAGGGAGGAGGTACAAAGGCCTTGCCCCAAGTTCCACTTCAGAACAACTGTGAAGGGCTCTCTCAGCTCCAGAACTTCCCTGAAGGT